GTATGGGAAACACATGAGGACGGTCTAAAGTGATCTCAACGAGGATGTTCAACTTGTCGTCAATCCCAACGCCCCCGGCATCAGAGGTTCCACCTGTGCTGTAGCCACCCAGTAAAAGGTCCCTCAAAAAGACCGACCACATCGGAATGGTATCAACGACTACTCGCCAAAAAGTCACGTAAGAATCACAAAACAAAGACCTAAACAAATATAAGAATTTTGGCAAATTTAGGCGGCTTAATACGATGTCGGAGGGACAATTGAATTTCCCACAATGAAGTGACCAGAAGGCCTTGCGATGCCAATCAATTTCACTTTGCATTCTCCACCTACATTAACCTACACAGTATTATTTGGTTTCGTTTTAAATCTCCTATGGTGAATTCGAAAGCTACTCATTCGGCAAAAAGTAATATCATCCCCCGCAATAGGAAGCAAAAGTTCGACTTATTACGGCTTGACGTGAAAATCACATCTTCCCTGTAAGCCAGTGGCAGCTGTGGCTGTGTGGCAATGTGGCTGAGTGGCATCCTGCTACCAGGTGCCTCGAACGACCCGGCTTTGAGTCCCGTCTGGAGTGCAGATGAGACGCAAGTGAGGTCGAAACTGCATTCCATTCGGGAAGATTAGTATTTGCTGTACCAATCGATTGCATTACTACTACTACTTTCTTATATATGAAAAATTATGACGTAAGGGCTGATTCATCCTGAGTTATTTAAGGCCTGACAATGGAGTTTTTCATACTCATGAGTAGTATGCCTCACGATGATACTTTATCACACAATCTTGCCTAGCAGAAGGTTTTCTAAACCAATCTGAACTGTAGCCTCCACATCGTATGGGTCGCAGTAGTATTTACGACGAGACGTCAAGCCAGTTTACAGATAAGCGATCGTCGTAGGGCATGCTCAACGAGTGAGTATTGGAATTGACAAGATATAGATGAACAAAAAAAATAATGCATAAATTATATACATATATATATATATATTGATTTGATGCGAAACGACTTTCTTTTTGAAGGGGAAGTTGGTTTGAAGGAATTCTTGAATTGGTCTCACAAGAAGCCGATGGAGGAAGATTGTTGGATTGCGCGAAGAAGTTGTCGGCTCACCGTCTTGCATCTTTGATGAACCTAGGCTAAGTTTTCGTCTTTTTCGAATTAAGTATTATTTGTCGCGACTACCAATAATTCAGTTATAAGATGTATTCACTGTCGCCGTTCGACTCCAGCTGAGGGTGTTGATAAGACCGATTCGAGGTCGAAACTGCAGTCCACCCTGGATGAGAACAACTTTTGTGAAAGCAAAGCTATGTAAAAATTCATTGGAAACGTCAGCCCAACTCATATCATTTGTGGGAAAATTCTACTTCTACCAGTCCTTTATTACCTTAAACGAAATTGGTTAAAAACATCTTATAAGCTTTCGTCTGTCAAGTAAAAAACGTTGTCAGAACGAGAAAACATACTTTGCGAAAAACAGACATGGTTGCATAAATACAAAAGGATTATATCTTTTAGCGGTCTTTCTTGGCTCAGTCCCGTTATTTCTGAGGTCAGCAGCTAACTAATTTCAAGCAACCCTTCACCAACTCGTATGTAGGCTCCCCTTAAAAGAACATGCAAGCGAATATCGTCTGTCCGACAAAGAGGTGGTTGTCAAAGTATAACCTACTGACTCCGCAAAGTGTCTTAGCTTATGTGACAAAGGGCTTCATCTTCCATGCATTTGAGCATGCCAGAATTCGTTTTGAGAACAACTGGTATCTTTGATCCATTCATCCCTTTTCTCCGAATACACAGATAGCCTTGTCTTCCAAAACAGCAGACACCGATCGTAGCGAACGACTCACAATGTACTACTGATGACAATAAAACTATATTTTTCGTCTATAAGTTTTCATGACTTATTAAGTAATGTAGTTGATTGCTAAAGCAAATACGACTTTTGACTAATCGGAAATCCCATCACATGATGTGATATGGGAACAGGTTTGGCCTTCCTTGAAATTCACATTTGCCCTGTGACCCGAGGGCACACGTGGCAATGTGGCGTAGTGTTTATCGTGTCGAGGTTACACGCTGCATTGCCATGGTTCGACTCCCACTGGGGGTATTAAGATGACCTAGGCGAGGTCAAATCTGCAGTCGAGCCAGAGAGGGAAAGGCTATGTGGAATTCAATGAAAAACATCAGCTCTACACATATCATTTTGGGAATAGTAAACTATCAATCCTTCATCACCTTAAACGAAATAGGCTGAACTCAGCTAATATATCTAGTTTACTGGTAGTCTTTGGAACCTAGTTGAAACGAAATACTTAGTGCTTATCGTATATTGATGTATGCGAGTGAATTTGATGCAGAAATGGGGGTGGAAGTGATCACAGATTTCCTGTATTTAAATAAACTAGCATATTATCACATACTCC